TGTAATAATTTTGGTCATATTTCGGCTCAATGTCCTCAAAATGTTGAGAAGAGAAGTTATGAAGTAAAGGTAGAAGAATTTAAGTCGAAGCCTATAAAAGAAGTCAAAATAGAGGAAATGAGCTTCACGGCACTTATAGACTCAGGAAGTGATATAAATTTAATGAGGGCCGATGATTACGTAAAGTTGGGCGCACCAAAATTAATTGGTAATTCCTTAGAATTTCATGGAGTAAGTGAACGAAAGAGTTCTACACTGGGGAGTTTTTGGACTGTAGTAAGTGTTGACGAACACCAATTTTCAATCCACATACATGTAGTTCCAAGTTCATTCCTTGCTTATCAGTTATCGTTGGGAGCAGACTTTCTGAAACAAGTTCACATCAGTTTAAAAGAAGGTCGTGTTGTAAAAATTATTAAAGCAAGAGGTGTAGAAGTAAACATTTCAGACGTATACGATATCGATGTTGCCTGCGTTGATGTTGGTGGTGTTGATTTGAGCCGCACCAATGATGCAAAATATAGAAGAGAGCCTCTGAATCTAACAAGAAACTACAAAGCAGTCAGAGAACAAGAAACAGGGATCAAAACGAACATTATTTTTAAAAATGATGCTCCAGTTTGTCAACGTCTAAGTCAGCTATCTGCTAGTAAGAAGGCTGAAGTTAATAAGGAGATGGAAGAATGGTTACACAAAACATCTGAACAACCCAAGATGATGAAGGAAAAGTAGAAGCGCAAGGAATAACGAAACTTTGTGACCAGTCAAAAGAAGAAAGAGAAGCTTCACATAAGTCTTCGGAACTTAATCATTGGTTACAGCGACGTCATGCATCAAATGTTAAGCAAGCAGAAGTTGCAGTTGTTCAGGAGAAACAGATGGAAGTTTGTGGTGCCTTTTTAATACTTGGTGATGCACAGCAATGCGCTGATGATCATTCAATGGAAAAACAGCATGTTGGTTACGCAAGATTAAAATCAGGAGGTGAAGAAATTGTTCATAAGGGAGAAAGAGAGCAAGAAGAACGAAAGCAACAGAAATAAGAAAAACACAGACAAAATTATCATAGTAGATCGGATGATCGAAAACGTGACATGAGACAAAATAGACGCTCAAGTAGAAAACATGGAAGCAGAAGTAGAGATAGATCTTATTATAATAGAAGAGGATATTATAAAGAAAGGGAAAAAATGAAAGAAAGATCTAAATATAGATCTAGATCAAGAAGTCCTGATCAAAGACGACGTGACAATCATACTCAATCACGTGATTCAAAATATCGAAGACGGTCTAGAAAGTCCGCAAAAATTAGAGCAACAGCAAGGGAGAACATTAAATTAATTAAAAAACTGCAAGCTGACAACATGAAACCGTGGGTCCGTTCAACTAACGAAGTATTCTACCGGTCAGACGAGGACATCGGGGACGATGTCAGCTGTCAGGATGGCCGAATGTGGGGTTTAGGCGNAATACATAACTTTCACAATATCGTGCACAGAGGAACGCTGGCATTTTTACATTTGAAAATGATAGAAAATTAAATACAAAAATATAGCTCAAAACTATAGCCACAAAGAATTTAGTAATTATTGGTACCATAAAATTTTTATAATTAAAAACATTAAAAAATATTACATACCAATAAAACAAACGTGAGAAAACGCCAGCTGAATCGAATGTATTACTTTGCTGTTTCTCCATTTTATATTAAGAATATGTCTCATCAAAATGTTCTGTATACTGCATTTACAGCATCATTTATCAAATGTATATTAAAGTGTATAGGTTTTTGCAGTTGTTTGTGTTCATAAAACCTTGAAGTTTCAACCAGATAAAAAAAACAGTTTAATTATGATATTAAGAGAAAGATTCGTCATTGATATAATCTAAATTTTAGACATGTTTTAGTACACTTAAAAAACATCATTTACATTATTCTGACTTAATTTCAAAAATGTTTCAGTGCATTAAATATATTTACAATGAATATTTCTTTTCACAATTTATTTGTAACCAATTTATTACCATTAACTTACAGATGTTTGCTGCCATTCTTTATATTTGTGACGTTTGCTTAAATTAAGTGATAAAAACACTTAATTTAAGCATCAATTCTTTAAATTATTTTCTATTATTCGAGGTTTTCAGATAGGTCGAAGTGTAATTGTAAATATGTTGTTAATAAAAAATTATTCAGAATATTTTCAAACTAGTGAACATTGTACAAACGAAAAAAAATTCAAAGTACAAACCATGCACGAAGTGACTATGAATTATAACCTTTGCTTCAGTGACGTCAATATATTTATCCCATCCTTGATATTTTTTATAGATTTGCTTGATATATTTTTTCAGTACTTGAACTAATTATAAAAAGACTGTGTTATTTTTTATATTTTTAATAACTAACTTTTTTGTATGCTATATTACTTGAAAAATTTTTTTCGTCGATTTATCTTATATCAATCAAATAAAGGAACATGAATTTAAATGACTTCAGATCAAACAGACAAATTTCTGGTATTTATTATGTGTTGTATGAGCCGTATGGTAGCGCTTCCGTTAGGGTGGGCAAAAGAAACATATACACTATTCGTTTCCAAATATTTTTGGCCATGTCATATTCTAAGTATCTGTAAATCCTTATGCTCCATGTGACACGTTACTTTACTATTCGAAAAGTGAACTGCTATTTACGTGAATTAATCTTGAAAAGTCATTAACATGATTTAAACAAGCTTCCACAGAACATGACATTTATGTATGAAAAAAATGAAAGGAGAAGACAGATGAAGTATTTAGGAAGAAATCAGTCAGGAATTGTTACAAAATAATAATAATATTTAAATGATACGTAAAACAGCAAATAATAATTAACCTAAAAATTATTTATAAGTACTTTACATACATTTATGTATCGAGATTCTTAAAAAATAATAACTGTCTGCACACAATAAATACTTTTTTTTTACTTTATTGTAACGTCTTCAGACTTAGCGATGTACTATTGGAGTCTCAAATTTGCTCTATGTAAAACTGGAGAAGTCAGGAGTAAAGGTTAACTAAACAGAAAAGACAGTCAGAAGAAGATGGCATGGAGACGGGAAATTTAAAATCTATTCTAATATTAATTTATGAATAATAAAATATAAAAATTAGCAGACTTTTAAATTTAGTGCTAATAATTGTTCTCGCGCGTTATTTTGGTATGTAATATTATTTAAACGTTATAATAATTAGAAATATAAAAGTTATTATAATACAATGTAATAACAGATGGCGCCACTAAATGTGGCCTGGATAGTTAAGCAACTTTGATATTTTTATGTTGTTATCAGTTTTTTAAATATAAGCATTATATTTGTATTTAACTTTTTAATCTTACCGAACGATAGAATCAACAGCAA